GTAGTAGTAGTCGTCGTCGTGGCGGTGGTGTAGTAGGTGTAGTACCCGTGGTCATAGTAGTAGTAGTAGTAGTAGTAGTAGTAGCAGTAGCAGTAGCAGTAGCAGTAGCAGTAGTAGCAGTAGTTGTTGTTGTTGTGGTTGTTATGGTTGTTGTTCTTGCCACATGCTTTTATTGCTACATATTCTCAGCGCTGACACTCCGCCCACTTCTATACCGTTGCCCCCGCGAACATCCCTGGAACCCGCAAGCCTCCCTCTCTCTACCCGTATGTGAAGCCAACCCACTGCCCCTTCCCACACCAACCGTCATTAATAAGTGGAAACCTAAACTCCTTTTTCTATTCACTGGGCTCAATCAAGTCCAGCCGGAGCTCGACCCCCAATCATCTTGACTCAGTCTGACACGCAGGAACCAACAACGAAGCCGCGCAGATTCGGAGCTTAAAGTGGGTATGCACCCTGCTGAACTCCTAAACCATGGACCCCACGCCTCAACCCCACATCCTGAACCCTAAACCCTCAGCCGTTAACGAATCCTGGAAGGAATCCTTAACTTGAAGTTAAAGGAACCCAGCACCCTCCGGCTGCCCAAGTGGCTCCCAGGCATCCACCTGCGAGGCATCCGAGCCAAAGAGTTGGCTTTCGATGTCCACCGCTCGGGAGGCCGACGCCGAAGGCTCGTCCTGCCAGCATGGGGATATAGAGGATGCTTTTCGGGGCTTTACTTTAAAGATTGTTGACAAAGGTTTGTTCATGGAGTTGTGTGAGGGGGGCTGTAATTATTCTTGCAAAGAGTTTTATGGCCGTTAATCGAACTTTGTGAAAGTCTTCTAGGGGGAGAAGGGCATGAGAAGGCCCCTTAAGCCCTAAAGTACTTAGAACAAAGGTTTGGGGGGCATACCATATGGTACTGCAGGCATAATAAGGGGGGCCAGAAGGGCTGGTACTGGTAATCATTCCAAAGGCAGGGAGCTCGCGGCTGTCGGGATGCGGCGTTTAGGGTTCAGGGCGGCAGAGCTTTTACTGACGCTGTGCACTTTTCGTCTTTACTCACCAGAGAACCCAATACCCCTTAATTTAAGGAATATACCTTAAATTATAGGGGCCCTAAGATTATGATTTAAGGTATATTCCTTAATTAAGGGGTATTGGGTTCTCTGGGCAGTGCCGGGTGGGGACTCCGGGTCTCCAGTCCTGCGTGGCGGAACTCTCGGTGAGGCGTTTAAGGCTAAAGACGGTCTCTATACGGCTTCTGGGACTTGGGAGGTCAGGGCTTACCAAAAACAAAACTCATTCCCATGGCATCTATAGCGGCTCAGGCTCTAGGGTTTCAAGCTTACTAAGCCCGAAGCCCTTAAACACTCGAAAACCCGAAAGCCCTCAACGCCAAGCCCCTGTGCAGAAGAAGCTTCCTTGCGCAAAACGGCCCGGAGGGGAGCCAGGAGCCGGCTCTCAGTGGAGGGCTTCTTGATGGGCTCCTGCTTGGAGGTTCATGGGTCGTTGTAAGTCGGTTTAGGGTTTTGGGGTAGTTATAAGTGGGGCTATGTGGGTTAGAGGGTTTAGGGGTAGGTATACATGGGGTGATAAGTCCCCTAATGTGGGTTCTAAGTATAGCTACCCTACTTATAGCCCCATGTATAACTGCCCATGAATCCCCGAGTGCTGAAACACGTTTCAGGCTGTGTGCTGCAGAGTTCCGGGCTCGAGGGATTCAGCTTTGGGGTTTCATTGGGTTTAGGGTTTAGGGGTTTAGGGTTTAGGGTTTAGGGTTTAGGGTTTAGGGTTTAGGGTTTAAGGTTCAGGATAGGGTTTGGTGGCGTTGCGCACACAAGTCTGCGGCGAGCAATTATTCTACGAAGCAGTACTCGGGCTACCCTTAACCTGATCCCCTGTTAGACTATATTATAGATGAACATTTTTAATCCTTATTGGGTTTTCTTATAACAATAATATAAAATTGTATCCAACAAGGACCCAGAAACCCTAAACCCTAAGCCCATCTGCCTTTCAAGTTCGCGTTTTTCGGGGCTCCGGGCTCGAGGTTTGAAGGCTCCGCGGGCTCAGGGTGAACTTTGGAGGGTCTCAGAGGTGCTTGGACTCGGAAGGTCTTAAGGTGGGGTCAAACTTAGGAACTTAGGGCTTTTGGGTATGCATTGGGGCTCAGGGAGAACGTGGTAGGTCTAGGGCTTACGGCTTGCAGGTGTTCAGGGCTTCTGAAGCACTGAGTTACAAAGGCAGGGCGGATGCGTTCTCAAGTTCCCGACTCCTGCTCCTCACGCCAGAAATCCACACCCTGCTTAACAAAAGCTCAAGCCCTAAACAAAGCTCTACTGGTTCTCGATCTGGAAAGTTTAAACCTTAGGCCTTAGGAGTCACCTACAATGCCCGCTGAGCCCGGTGACAAATTCGAGACACCTCTGCTTCGTGGGTTTCTGCTGGGCTTCCTCGCACCACCACCTGCTGCACCTCAGATCAAGGAAGGGTTTCTTTAAGGGTTACTCGAAGTGTTACAAAAACTCATGCACAATAGGATGTTGAAAAGGGTCCCTCAATAGCGGCTGCACTGGGCACAACAAGATCACTACAAGTGCTTCTAGAAGGGGTACACAATTCCAGGGTTGAGTGCAGTGCTTATGGTTGCACAGGTCTTTAGGTTGGTGGGGTGTGCCGCCTTAGGGTACAACTTGTGAAGTCATTGATTTGCATTTTGTTGCTGCGAAGGACCGTGAGGATGTTGTGCCTCTCGGGGAAGCGCTCAATGCGCTTCATCAGTGCAAGCGGATCTGGTGGATGATCGTCCTCTCGTCGCCGGTACAAGCTTCGAGGTTTAGGCACTGCTTCGGGAGGCATCAAGCTTAAAAGCCACTTTGCGTCAGCGCATTTTGGTACACTGGGCGAGGCAGCTCGGTTCGTTTTACAATGGCGTTACATCTGCATTCAATGTCGGGAGCTGGCTGAGGGTTTGCGAGCCTTCAGCCAGGATGATTCACAGCTTGATTACGTATCACATCCCCTAAACCGCAACAACCAGAACTACTAGACCCCTGCCTGTTGCAACTGGCTTGGAACCTGCCTAAGCCCGAAAAACCCTAAACCCTAAACCCTAAACCCGAAACCCTGGACCTACCTAAGCCCCTCAAACCCTGAGCGAAGGACGGCTTCCTCCATCTTCGCAAAGGCCCAGGAGCGAAACCGCTCGGCGCAGGTCAACCGGACCATCTTCTTCACAGTCCTACTTGGAGTTTAGGGTTTTGGGGTAGTTATAAGTGGGGCTATGTGGGTTAGAGGGTTTAGGGGTAGTTATAAGTTGGGTTATAAGTCCCCTAATATGGGTTATAAGTATAGTTACCCTACTTATGAACCTATTTATAACTACCCATGAACCTCCAAGTAGGGTTCTTGTTCACGAGAACACGTCATCATAATATGCCACAGTAACAAGCAAAGCCTTTCTTTCATTTTCTTCACCAAATATTCCCATAATGCACCAAGCATCCGGTTGGGCTTCCATCCAGACATGGAGGATCGCCTGCTCCTGGGTCGGTCCGGACTAGGGCGCCCACTTGGTCGGTTTAGGTTGTAGGGTTGAGGGTTTTAGGGTTTAGGGTTTAAGGGTTTAGGGTTTAGGGTTTGGGGCTTCCTAAACCCTAAACCCTACCCTAAACCCTAAATTCCTGGTGACTGGGGTGAGAAGCATGTTTTTACTTATGCTCTCACAACCCCGGCTCTTCGAGGTTGCCGTCGGAACATCGATCAAAGGAACTTGAAACGACGCGGATAAGTCTTAATAAGGGGTTTCGGCGCTCACACTCGGACATTCCAATAAGGGGTTTAGGGTTCCGGGCTGAGCAATGTCAGCGGCACTCTTTTGACAACATATTCAGCTCGTGAGCTTACCTCCCGCCATGATCCCGAGGCAAATCACGAAAGCGAGTGTCAGGAAGTTACTACGATCTAAGAATCCTCTGTTGTTTCCCCAGCTCCGTTTTCCAAACGAAAGTGCAGAACTCCGAGTACCCAGAGAACCCAATACCCCTTAATTAAGGAATATACCTTAAATCATAATATTTGGGTCCCTATAATTTGAGGTGTATTCCTTAATTAAGGGGTGTTGGGTTCTCTGGGTAAGCAAGACAGCCAAGGTTCGCATCTGCCGCTGCGTAGGGCTCGGCGTAGACCGACCAGCGAGTCATCTGCGCGCTGAAGTGGCGGCCCTGGTGTCGATGCAGCTTCACGCAATCCACCTGTGGCATTCGTAAGCTTGGAGGCTCATGGGTAGTTATAAATAGGGTTATGGGGTTCCTTTAGAGGGTTCTTTAAGTTTGGGGGTTTAGGGTTCATGGGTGGTTATAAAAAGGGTTATAAGGACGGCAACTATACTTATAGCTCATATTAGGGGACTTGTAACCCCACTTATAACTACCCATGCACCTCCAAGAGGCCGTTGGAGATGACGTGACTAGCCGTTCTCACACCTGAAATCCTCCTCACATCCTAGCCCCAAATCACATCGCGGCCAAGGCTGCAGCCCTCGATACTCCTTTAGCCTGAGCCTTTCTGCACTTTGAGAAGTCGGGGGTCCAGGCCGCAGGTTTAGGAGCTGCGAAATTACGGGCCTTGCCTTGAATCCGAGGGTCAGGCAACCGTGGCCAAGCAGGCCCTCATGATCTTCGAACTGCACCATGACGTTGTGCACGTTCATGTCCTGGGCTGTGGGTGGTGTCTTGTTGGGCATGCGGGTGCCTTTCGAAGCTTCAGGCTGTTAAGATCCGAGCGCGTCTCCGGTTCTGCAACATGCTCCAACGTTTCAGGATGCTCTCCGTGGACAGCATACGGCCGAAGCTCGGCTCCCCAAAGTGACCCTAAGAGCCAGGCGTCCACGTGGCGTACGGAGCTGTCTTGCAGCGCCATCCGCAGCCTACGGAACCCCTGCGCCACAGCTGTGCCAACTTTGTAACGAGCACCTCCCGAGCTGTTCTGGGCGATCTAAAGTGAAGTGATCGGGATCTACGGCTCCAGGGCTTAGGATCTCTTCCTTTTTGTGGGCTCTGATGTAGATCGGTGCAGATATGGGGCTGTCTAGGGATCTCCAGCTAAAGGTCCAGGGATCAAGGCGTTTTCTGTTCGGAGCTCTCTTGGATTTCCAGCTTAAGGGTTTGGGCACAGGTCTACGGTTTCGGCGCTCACGATTTAGGGCCGTTTAGGGTGCATGGCTTGCTCTGGAGGTTCATGATACCGTGAAGCAACCACGAAGAGAACAGAACCGAACAGAACAACGTATATAACAAAGCTGGGATTCGGTCGGCCTCAGCAAATTCTAGCAAAAATGCCTTGGGTTGCATCCATCGAGCTCACACTCGATCCCTGCATGTCCTGTCCATGTTAAGTTTGTCCCGTGCGAGCCTGTGATCAGGTTCTGGCCCATCTGTCGGAAAGTCTTTTTCGGCCTGGCAAGTCCAAAGCTCTCCCAAATGCTCTCGACGGTTCGGGTACAGCGGCTGCGTTTTGGGGCCTCTTCATTTAGCTTTTGGGCTACGGCGACGGTCCACCGGGAAGAAAGCTACAGGAACCGATGGCTCTCGTGGCGCAGCTCCGTTGCTGACACGAGCAGTATGCCCCTTATGCATCCCTTCGTTCCACGGTTTAGGGTTTAGGGTTTAGGGTTTAGGGTTTAGGGCTTGCCGCCACATTGGTGTTCACAGCTCTTCTCTGCAGGCCAGCGCCTGAATCCTAAACTGAGGACAGAGCCCAATACCTACACTCCAAACTAAGTGTTCTAATGCTGTCGGGGTTCCAACCCTAGGCCTTTAACTCCACACTTAGCTTCGAGGTCCTCCTTTCAATCCACAGATCCCAGATCTTCCCCGGCCATGTCGGATTCCGAAGCCCTAAACCGTGACTTCGATTCGGTTCCTATAGATCCCGATCCCGAACTGCGAGTCAATAAAAAAACATCTACAGCCTGCGGGCTGTTCCAAAGAAAGATCCCTCCTGATGACCTGCTTTTCTGATCGAAGTGCAATGCTCAGGCTTGGCCATGTCCTATGTCCAGAAACAGATCCCTTGCAGAACATACGCCCAAAGTCTAGGCCTAGGCATCAAGCGAGGTGTCGAAAAAGCTACGGTAGTGCTCCCTCTTGCAGTTCTACGCAGGGCGTCTGCCACCCAGAAGCTCAATCCAAAAACCTGTAAATCGGAAACCTGTTTAGGGTTTGGGGCAAGCAGCGCAGGAGTTTAAGTAGCCTTTGCTTTAGAGGCCCCAAGAGTACGGCCTTTCCCTAGGGCTTACAATGCACCCCCTCCTCGAGCCCAGGGAGTCGGCGGAGACCACCGCTGGGTCTGCCGCCGTGGGGAAGGGAACGGTGAGCCGCTGGCAGATGAGGTCGATCACCCGGCTCCTTAAAGGCCCCACCGTTCGAAGGAGTCACGGGTAGCTCGGAGCCTTGAGGGGTGCGGGGTTTCAGGATCCGGATCACCCGGCTCGTCACACGGCTCAGTTTCAGAATTGATTTCGCCTGGAGGATGAGAAAGGTCTGGACGCAAGGCTTCAGGTCAGGATCATGGGTCCGTATGAGCAGGGCGCCACCAACAGGCCGAAAGTGCCTAACACCCGACAGAGACAAGTTCCATCAACAGTGCCCAAGCATCTTCGCTGCCCGCACGCTGTCATACCTGGGCTGTGTTGCCGTTCCAGGAGTTCCGGACTTAGATGTCGAAGCTCCCAAAACTTGCCCAAAAAACCTGAAGCCCAACACCATCACTCTCTACTTCTGTATGCCCTAATAACACCTCCCTCCCTCCGTCCCTTGTCCCTCCTTCCCGCTCATTCTTTCTTCTTTCTCTTCTTCTTCTTCAAGAAATCTCTCTCCCTCTCTCTCTCAAAATCTCTCTCCCTCTCCGCCTGTCTCTCTCCACCCCAAGACCCCCAGATACTCCAGAAGGCCTCTACAGCCAGACCTCCGCTTTTCCCTCGCCCTAAACCCTAAACCCGAAACCCGAAACCCTAAACCCAAAACCCTAATCCCTACACCCTACACTCAAAACCCTAAACCCTAGGCCCAAAACCCCTAAGCCCCTCAACCCAAAACCCTAAACCCAAAATCCTAAACCCCTAAACCCCTAAACCCCTAAGCCCTAAACCCCCTAAACCCAAAAATCCGAGTCGCTGCCAGTAGCTGCCTGGCTCCCCTTCGCCCGCCTCAGCAAGACCAGGGCCGGGCCCAAAGAGCCTCAAAAGAGCGAGGAACGCAAGGCGCCTTATGCGGTTCAGGGTTTAGGGCTTCTCTTTTAAAGTGTAGGGTTTAGGGTTTAGGGTTCAGGGTTCTTTTTTTTGCGGGCTCAGGGTTTTTAGGGCGTTTCTTTTAAGGTGTAGGGTTTAGGGTGTAGGGTTTAGGGTTTAGGGTTTAGGGTTCCTTTAAAAGGATGTATAAGGGATATAAGGGGATCTATAAGGGGTTTGGGGTTTAGGGATTTTTTTCCGGTTTAGGATTCAGGGTTTAGGGTTTAGGGTTCAGGGTTCAGGGTTTAGGGTTTAGGGTTCAGGATTCAGGGTTTAGGGGTTTGGGTTTAGGAAACTAGGACGTCCTTGTAAAAAGGGATCCCTTCTTTTGGTGGGAGACTTCGCGGCCCTTTAAGAATGAGAATGCGCTTCCTTTTTCAAGGGCTCCGGGGCTGTGGCAGGGCAACCATTGGCGGTTTATGGGCTTTTGTTTCGACTCACACACTCGCACCAGGCATTTTGTTTAGGGGCCTTAACAATTGGAATAGGCTTTGATGTACGTGATCATATAAAACTCGAATAAGGGGCCCTAAGGAATCGTAGCGCTAATTGCCTAGGCTGAGGCTTCTATCTACTCCGACCTCCGCCCACCAACAAAGGCTTTATCGGCCCTAAACCCGAAGCCCTAAACCCCTAAACCCGAAGCCCTAAACCCCTGAACCCTAACCCCTAAACCCTAAAACCCGGAATCCGAAACCCTAAACCCCCTTGTAAACTCCCCTTATATCCCTTATAGATGCCTTTAAAGGAACCCGAAACCCTCCATCGGCCCCAAGGGCAGCAGCATGTTCTTGATCCGGATCTTCGTACGGCCCCGGACTCGAGGGGCGAAGGTCAGAGGCCGGCCCAGGTCCTGGGAATCTTGGGGTTTAGGGTTTAGGGTTTGGGGATTTAGGGTTTCGGGTTTAGGGTGATCTTGGGAATTGGGGTTTAGGGTTTAGGGTTTAGGGTCATGTTTAGGGTTTAGGGTTTAGGGTCATCTTGGGGT